AGGAGGGGTTAAAATATTAGATTTTATTGTTATTTGGTTATTTAAAAAAGCTTAAAATTAATATTGTTGGATTAAATAGATTTTGTTAGGATTAAATAGATTTTGTAATGAATTAAATAAAAATCATAGGTTTTAAATATTCTAGTGGCATATCTGTAAATATTGTAGATTTTGACCCGCTCTTTGAAAGCGCGGGATTGCGTTTTTGTTAATAAAACTATTAATCCGTTTGTTAGTTTATAATAAAAATGACAAATATATTAGTTTAACCTGTTTATACTTGATAAATATTTTGTGACCTAAAGCAAATGACCATATTAAAGAAATTTTAGCTTATTCCCATATATATATATATATATATATATCAAAATGAATTTTTGACCCGTATACAATGCAGAAATGATAATGATAATTGTAGTTAATATGGTATGTAAAAAATAATGATTTGGAATGTATAAATAAAATAATATCTTTTTCTATTTAATTTTATTTCAGATTAAAAGACACTATTCATTTAAATCAATATGAATTGTTACAATTTTGAAATACCCGCATAATCCGAAAAATATTCATTTTATTAGATTTTTAGTTTTACATCACCAAGCATGATATTTTTTTAAATAAATATTATAAAATCCATATGTCTACCTAGTAAGACTTCTTAGTGGTAGATAAAAATGGTACTTCTCTTTTAATAGAGAAGATATAGACTATAATTATAAATTTATTAAAAATATCAATCTATTTTATTTTTAGGTTATAATAAAATTTAATTAATATAATTTAAACTAATATTATGTTACTTAATTACGAATTAATTAATGCATTATTTAATAAAAAAATATTTAAAATGTTTAGTAGGATTTTGTTAGATTTTTCTCAACAGATTTCTTTATAACTAAAAATATAATTAAAATTAATAATTAAAATTAATAATCAAAATTGATTTATTATTAATATTTTATTGATTATTATGTTATATTATGAAATTAATGAAATGGACCTAGTAAGACTTCTTAATGGTAGATAAAAATGGTACTTCTCTTTTTTATTATACATATATACTTTCACATTATTGTTAGCGAAAAAGATGCAATTATAAATGTCCAAAATATTATTTTTTCCAGATCATAATTGAGATCAAAATACATACCTAAAGCTGAAATAAAATAAAGAAATTATAGCTTATGAAAACAATTATAGTTAGCTATAATAAACTTCGATGTTGATAAAACTCGATGCAAAAAGATAAGAAACATCAAAACTCCGATGAAAACTGCACCTATTTTCGGCCATATCTGTTCCTTGGTTTGATCCAGATAAACATGTGAGATCACAAAGCACAAATTGAAGTGAGAAAACAATATACCAAAAGACACCATGAATTCTGGAAANTGCAAAAAGATAAGAAACATCAAAACTCCGATGAAAACTGCACCTATTTTCGGCCATATCTGTTCCTTGGTTTGATCCAGATAAACATGTGAGATCACAAAGCACAAATTGAAGTGAGAAAACAATATACCAAAAGACACCATGAATTCTGGAAAAAAATTGAAGTTACATGAAAGTTATCGAGGTGATCAATTACATCTCTTCCATTCTTTTAAACTTTTTATTTCTTGTATGAGCTATAACCTCCTTCGATTCCTGTTATCTGGACGGACACACATCACTATGTCAATGTGGTTACCATCAAACATGAAATTTAAATTAACATGATAACACAATTAAATTAAGCAAACAATTAGGCAAACAAATAACTAACACAAAAAAAATTCACATATAAGTCACGAATCTCTTTTGATTGTAGCCATTATCCCAGTCTCTGTTAGACCTGTATAAAATCACAAGCATGACGTTTAAATTAGAACTATAATTTGTTGGAAAAAAGAACAAAAAAGCTATGAAAACGAAAAGCGGATGTGTCGATTATTGAAATGAGAATACCTTTATATAATGAGTTGAAGATTGTGGGAGTCGATTTCACCCTACTGTCAAATAAATCGTAAAAAAGGAAACTTCGGGA